TAAGGGGGCTGTCGAAATTTCCAGGCTACACGCGAGACTCTTTTCCCTTGACGGGCCGATCTTCGCGTAATTTAAAAGCGCATAGATGCCGGTTTAATTAAATCGTCCGCGTGAATTATTACATCGGCGAGGCGCGTATGAATGGCACCGGGGATCGCTGAATGAGGTCCATTTTTTTTACGGAGATCCCCCTCGGTCGCTGCAATAAAGAAATTTCGTGGATAAGGGACGAGGGTGAGAATGAGGGCAATTTGTAATATTTTAATTCTTCCGGCGAGGCGGCTGCCAGTTTCGTCGTGATGAACTTACGAACGAATTCTGGATGGTTGGTCCACCTCGAAAATCGCTTTGAAAATCATACTTTTCAGCATCGCCTCACTATATTTCGGAGCATCACGTAGAAATGCCTCTTTAATAAATAATTTATAGTACGTACCTCAATTATCTATTTTTAAACTTTTGACTTCCAGAATCTGAATGAACAAACATGAATTATTCTATGAGCAGTAGAGTAAATAGTACAATAAATGACCGGTTTTAAAATTCGAGCAAAAATTCTGTATTTTCGCTTATTTAATTGCACATCAATCCTCACATTGTCCAATCAATTTTTCAAATTTTATCTTCCCTTTCGTTCCTGTTTCCACTAAGGAAAATTGGCCCAACTTGTTTATCTTTATTTTGTAACCGATTATTTGACTAATAGGAATAGGTACGTACAAAGTGCTGTTACGTTTAGTATTAGAAGTGACTTCGATAGCTTTCGAAAGCTTTCTTTCCCAACCCACGGGAATTCGCAACGATTTATCGCGAGAGGTCGAGTTAATTCCGCGCCTGAGAAGGGGTTAACGTCAGCGTTATTTCTCCCCGCTTTTATCAAGAAACCCGGCGGATCATTGTCCGCTCTCATTTTTCCCGGCCACCTTTTCGCGTGCGTCTCCCCGCCCCTCCGGCGACGAATTATCTTTTTAAAACGTCTTTCACGGAGCTGGGACCGGAGAAGACGCAAAGAAAGATTTTATCGGGGTGCTGCCGAGGAGAGAGGCGAGTACGACGTCGCCGGCCTTTCAGCAACAAATTAAGGATTTTAAGCCGAAAGTAATTAGTCTCGACGAACAAGGTGTCACTCCGTGGAAACGAGGAGACGGGGTGGGAGTCGGGCTTCATTGTTCTCACCATAATCCCCTGGGAACGTTCATAAGTTCGTCTCGCTCGTCTGCATCGAAGAAAGCGCTCGGAAAGGATGATTCCGCTTTCCGGACAGATTAATCGTCATATCGACGGAATCTCTCTTCTTTTTTTCCCTCCCCTTTTCTTACCGTCTGGCTTTCCGACGACGGTGATTTCCTGGGAGAAACGGGGTTCCCCGAAGGCAACCAGAGGAAGAAACGACGCGCGTTCACGCAAAAGGTTCTAACTTTCGCGAAGACCGCTGGTACAGCGCTTGTTTCCATCATTTAACACTGGAACAACCGCAAACGTCAAAATGGCAGGTTTCAATTCTTGTGTTGCAATTATTGATATCTTAAAAGCGTCAGATATAATAGATAAGAAGAGTTTATAGTTACAGTTTTTATAATGATTACATATTAATGGTATTAAACGGTAGTTCTAGGGTTAATGTTCAAGTAGTTTTATTTGTTCACTGTGAAACAGAAGATTCAATTCTTCTCAGTCTACTTTATTCGGAGTTCTACCTCCATTCTCTATCAAATGTTTCTAAATACATAATTACAACAGACGACTATGATCCACGATCATTTCAGCATGATGTACCGTGCAATGATAAAATCTGTCGCCTCTAAGCATCCGCGAGATTTCGAGCAACTGACTGGGGATCAATCCTCCCCCGAGACGGGACAAGTTCGTAATTCGCTTACACCGAAACGCGGAAGGATTGCAATCAATTAGAGGAAACTGGAAAGGGGATTATCGGATACAATCTCTCCTATTTTTTTCTCTCGTCTCCGTTTCTCCACCGCCGTTCCACTCTCTTACAGAGGAGAGTGGCGAGACCTGACGCGATAATCTTATTTAGCCTTTCACTCGGGAAAATGGATTATTTCGGGCGGCGTTGAAAGCCCCGTACTCGAAAATCGCGGATCCTCTTTAGTTACTCCGTCGGCGCAGTTAGTTAATTAAAAGGTAAAGAGAGAAAGCCGGCCAGAGATAGGGCGGAAGGGTAGGCCGCGTGGAGCCCAGGATTTGTTTTCCGATCGCGGCGAAGTAACCCTTTCTCCGCCGTTCGGCGAACGTTTGCGTCGTTCTACTCGCGACTTCGATATTCAGTGGGAATCCCGGTAATCCATTCCGTGAAATTACGAACGACTTTTCCGTTGGAACGTTCAGTTCGATCCGAGCCACCATTAATTCACCGTGCCGCGAAGTTTCTCGCATTTTTCATCCCCTAGGCGACGATTTCCTCGCGAACACTTGATTGAAACGATAACCCTCCATCAACAATATAATTTTCCACTAACATAGCTGCTAATATGGATACTTTATATTCAAGTTTGATGTTTCATTGTTGCGAGTCCTGTAAAAATCTAAAGAAATTCTAAGATACCTGTTATAGTCCCTGATTTAGTATAGGAACTTTAATTAAATCTTCATATCGTTTCGCAATAGAGATAAAAATCGTGGTGAAGTTTTGAAGAAATGAGACTTTCAATTAGCCTTTAATGTTCCATAATGCTAGTGAAGGGCTAACTGCAATATTATTAATTTAACAACTACTTTGGCAGTCACTGACGACTGATCCCGTATTATTCGATGATGAATGCAATGAAACCCCATGGTAATCGACGTGTTAATTATTTATAAAGCGAAGGGCATATACTTATTTTACTCGAAGTTGATATAAAATCAATAATGCTTCTACCGAACGTAGCCAGCCCCGAAATGATAATTCGCCGAAAGAAGCAAGGTTGCTCGCCGTAGACGGTTGCTATCGAGGCGCCTAGCTGCGGCCTCGCCCACCCTCGTTCTTGTTTCGCGAATTTTGCGCGCCACCCGTAATTTATGCGGAAACCCGACGAAGGAACATTAACATTTATATTTGGGAAGCCACAGCCGATCGTAGGTCTTCGATTTCGCAATGGAATTGCTAATGATAAGCGAGTTGCCGAAGGTGGAGGGATGTTTACGGTGGCTGTAATAACAGACGCTGCCACTCGAACCTGTCCGATAGCGTGAAAGAATATTCGCTGCACCGAATATCGAAATATCAGAGAAACTTTCCCTCCCATGGAAATTTTCCATTCAAGACGCGGGGGATGCTTTATCATCCCCGACAATCATGGTTACACGGCCACAGTAACGACAGGAATATCGACAAATAATTGAGATGGAGGATCGAAGAAAAAAATAGAAATTGTTTCGCAGTGTAATAATACAACGGGGAGAAATATGAATAAAAATGCGAGCAACCCTTGGCAGAGAGCGTTCCGTCAAAATCATTTTTAGGAGAATCGTTTCCGATGATAAAATATATCGTTCCCCGACGAATTAAAACGACGGAACGCCATATTTCAAATGAAATTTAGATTAATCTATAAGTATGAAAAGTAGTATTTACTTCTATAAAAATAATATATACCATAATATAGTATTCTTCCAAATTGTACAAATTTTCCGTTTATCACGGAAGAGTCAAATGTACACAAGAGAACAATCAACAGTGAGAAAGAGTTTTTAAATCTTTAGCAAATAAGGAACAGGAAACGGGAAACATAGTTCACGATGTAATAAATGTGGCCTATAATCTTATTTGGGTCTGATCTGCCTCGGTCTACCTTATAGTGGAATCATTTTTCTAACGGACGCTTAGTTCACTAGTCCAAGTACATTTTGCCGGTGACAGCGGTTCGTGCAGCGTACCGATTCGTCGGGGGTGGATTGCGCGCGGCCGAATGCATCGAGACGAATAGACGAGCGGAAAAACAGGGTTGGAAAAAAGGAAACGAGAGAGAAAGAGAGAGGAAGAGAGACGGCGTGGTGGAAGCGAAAGAGAAAATCGAGGGCCCCGACAGTGAAAATAAGCGGCTGGTCCGAGGGGGTGCGCTTATAAGCCACCGGCTTTTTTGTAGTGCAAATGAATAGGTCCGACCCTCGTCCGAAACTTTTGCAATTTTGCGCGTCGACTGGCTCGTCGGTGCGTTCGTTTTCCTGAAAAAATTTTCAACCACCGCGTTCTGTTTTCTTTTTTTTTCCACCACAAAATCCCGACGCGACCGGTGGACTCCGTGATCGTGCGTTGAAAACCCTACGACGGGGCCCACCCTCCGACAGATCGTATCGTGTAAGATAATCCCCTAGGAAAAAAGAAAAGCTCGAAGGAGGTTTCCCCGTCGATGAGCTGCGAATCTATTTGGCTTATCTTTTAAACGGAGCGTCACGATCGGATAAGGAGAGAACGCCTCATCCATATCAATGCGTGAACGCTATAGTCGGAGCGAAATCAATCGGGTGTTCAAGGACACCCGACTTCATCCCCACTGCAACATTCGATTATTCCACGTTTCACATTTATCCACTAGTCAAGAGCTATATATTTTGAATCCACGATGAAAATATCGTGCGCCGTTAGGATCGATCTCCGGTTCATTCAATCTGCGGACTGTGGAGTTTAGTTTGACAAATCTCTTATTGTGCGCACCATAAAATTAAACAATGAAACGTATCCTCAAATGCAAGGCGAACGCACCTAGAATATATCCTGTATTAAATATTATTAAATATTTGAATGAGAAACCAAAGAAAATGTAAAGGACATGTTTATCTGGAAAAATGAATAATTCATCATTGATAAGATTAGCGTCATGTTAGATCTTTTAAGGTGACGCGTATACTCCTCGAACACAGTTAACTGGTTAATTTCGACTATAGCGAAAAGGAGGCAAAGCTTAAACCGATCACGTACTCGTTTCCCCACGACCTCAACCCCTGCAGGAACCGCCCCAGTCTTCGCTTACTTTCGATTTCAATTAAACGATGCAATTTCCCTTACCGAGCAACCCTCGTCCGTGATCCGTGGGATGTGGAGGGAACGAAAGGAGACGCGTTATATGTTCGCTGGAATCTTTATTACAAATTTCAGCCTGCAAGAATAACGAGGATAATTAATCCTAACGAGTACAGTGAATGGGAACGGCAATGGAAACGTCTTAAATGTTAATCGAGGTGCTCGCGTTGACGGTTACTATCGGCGAACAATCGGATGCGCGTGTAACATCTTGACAGATTATTTTTCGTTAATTTAAAACGCAGACGTAGAATTGCGCTGTGCTGCGCTGCGATCAACAAACAATTGAAGAGAGCTGGATGTTTGAGCAGCTCGTGATAAGACAACACGTAACCAGCGCAGCAATATCTTCCATGGATTATAGCGCATGAAAGTAGCAACATTAAAGAACAGTGTGGTTAGAGGATTGCGGAATCTTTGTTGCGATTCGAATTTATTCTATCTGTTTCGGTGCTTAAGATAAACAATAACGAAGGACAATTGCGAACATCATCGATCCGAGAAAATCTGCAGGTTTTAATCCGTGAAGCATACTCTGATCGCCTCGAACAACGTTTCGTCTCAAATGTAGATCAACGCGCGTTAACATGGAAATATAATTGAGTTGAATCGATATTATGGGTATCCCTGATGCGTTTAGGCACTTGTGTCGATCGATCATGGTCTATCACTGCGTTCGAGCGCTAGAAGACACTTTTATTTGTTGCTCTATACAATGTATAAAGGAAGCATGATTTCACTGCGCAAATGGCTGCACAAGAAAACACGACATCAGCCGTTATATAAAAGTAATTATCTACAAAGATCAATGAAACATAATAGCAGACTTTCAGCTGCTGTTAATCACGGAACGTTCTATTAAAATGTGTAACAAGCACATGTATATACATAAACTACGACACGCATGAACTTCTTTCCGTGTGCGTCTAGGAAGACGCGTAAACCTTCTGAAATCTAGAAATACAATAACAAAACGTGATCGTTTGCACGTAATAAATATTTTCTCTTGTACTATTACACTGGTTTGTAAGGCACTACGATCCTCGGATGGCTTCAGTTTGATAGTTTTCGTTGTTGCGTTGTCACGAGACGTGCAAATAAACGCATGCCCTAGCTTCCGTTCATGTTTCAGCCTTTACCGGTAACTCTTCGTACCTTCTGGTCTTTTAAAACACGAATGCACAAGGCAACTTTCTACGTGTATTTAATTCTCTTTTCCCTTTGATAATATAAATTTTTTCTGGCAGTAGCGTCGACAAATTTGTAGGTAAACAATATTCGTTTCCGGATGTCGATTTCTTAAACTTGGCAAGATCAGAATTCTAAACTAACGGGTCGAGCAGTATCGACAACCCGTAGGTTTACTCGACACGGCAATACTGATTTCTGTGCGACATAGTTTTGTGGAGTATATTCTCAAATTCTTTGAATTTCAACCGTAACAATTTCATGCGAAACAAATCAGTATATATGCGAAATTTGTCCTATGTACACACACCTGCCTCGTAACTATTAAATAATCTATATTTAGGAACTACAAGATAAACTAATAATATCATTTTGTGCATTTAAAAACTCTGCGAAGATTCAGTCCACGGACATACTAACAAACGACACAGGTGTTCCGTTTATTATTCAATCAGCTGGCAACTCTTTTCATTATTCAACGGCATTTCGTGGCAGCTGTGTTTTGAACAAGTATTTTACCCTGCATGAAGTCGACCAATTTCAGTGTTGTACTCAATTGAATTCGTCTCTTAAATTATTCACCGCCATTTTGTCGATGCTTCAATATTGCTTGCCATATCCTTAGTTCGATTCCTCCTCTATAAAAATACAATTCATCAATACAATAAGAATGATATAATTATATATTTTATAGAAACTGAAATGTTATGACCAACCTCAAATTAAGTCTGCGAATATCATCACGGGTAACGTGATGCAGAATATCATCTAACGTGTATTGTTCATATATAAACTGTAAATAACAATAGCTACTATAGCAACTAGCGATTTGAGAAATATTTCAAATTTATTTTAGTGTCAAATGCGATATTCACCCTTTCAATTGACCTCTCATCAACATGAAGATTTTGCAGCCATTCTACAAGAGCTTCGTTCGGGCTGGAAGAAGATGTTTCAGAATATGTATTACCAGCAATCACTGGTACTGATAGATTAGATGTGTTTCCGCAGACAGTTGAATTGTATCTGCAAATGCAGAAGTATTATTTAAAATACATTAAATAGGAATAGAAATAGGATTAAAAATAGAGACGGAAATCTTACCCTGATTCTTGTCCTGAAGTTTTCCTATTGATATTGTCACAAAGCCGTGTTAAGGTATTAACTTGAGCTCTCTGCTCTTCGAGAGCTTGTTGCAACAAGACTTGGTATGCTTTCTGACTCTCAATTAATTCCTGGAGTAATTTCATATTCTCCATTTTTAAATCGCCCATTTGATCTCGGTATTCTTTCCAGTACTTATCATCCATGGAATCTCCGGTTTTCTGTGATTTCACGGAGTTTACGGTGGACACACCAGACGTGGATCCCTCTTCAGGTCCTTGGCCGCTTGGTTGCACGCGTTCTTGACCGAGTAAATTGGCACCAAGCTCTGAAAATTATATTTATGAACATTTAAGATAACGTGAAATCGTATAAATCTAGTCAGCATTATATTAAAAAGCACTAGATTATTACCAGGAGACAGTACAGTGATAGCGGCTTGAACCGCATTTCTGACTAAATTGTCCAACGCAAACATCCAATGCGGTTTTATACTGTGCATACGCAGAACTTCGTTCACCGCGGTTTGAAAGAGGTAAATTGCCAGATTTAGGTGATTAATGGCGATGGAGTCGAAATCCAATTCTTCTTTTAATGTTCTGATGGCCGTCACTATTACCTCATGATTTTGATCAGCAATGTAATCTCTTAAAGCTCGCATTAACAGCACTAAATGGGTCTAAAAAATAAAATAAATTTGTTATTGAGAAAACAAGTTTGTACTTTATATTGATAGTGATATAAAAGTAATTACTGATTGGAGAACAGTTTGGCCTTCTGCCTGATGTATACCCCTCATCCAAACTTCACAAATCTTCGCTTCATCTTGCGTGAGGACTCTGGTGAGCGTCATTCTTCTCTGACTTTCTTTTTTCAGTAAATAAAAACCTTCTTGTTCTTCTCCAGTCTTTTGGCCAGGTTGACCTGTTAATAATATGAATAATATTGAAACTGAATTGTTACTTAAAAAATAGGGAACCCTTTATAATGCCTGACCTCCCAATTCAACTTCGGGGGATAATAATCCCCCTGAAGAACTTCTTCTAGTCATCGAAGCTCCTGTTGTATCCGATTCACTTGTTTCTATGGAGGGTGTATTTCCAATAGTGCTAAAAAGCCAAAAGATCGATGTTAATTTTCCATAATATTTACGTCTCTGTCCTTAAGCTTTCAATTCTATACTTGTGCGATGCACGTGTCACAAGGGCAAGAACATTTCCTGGCAGTAGCTCTGATTGGAAATAAACCTGAATACATATAACACTCACTGAAGCTGGGAGTAGATACTGAACACTGTTTCGAGACAGTCAGTGCAAGCATGATTGAGAAGCATATATACAGTATTATATAATCTTGTTTTTAATACATTTTCATTGTACTTGTTTAGTACATCAAGCTTCAGATCATAGTATTATTAGCTTATAATATACGATGTTTCATAACGTATGGATACAAATTCAGAGGTTTTAGTAGACACAAAAATAATGAGGAAAAGAGGTCGTTCAAAAATGTCTGTATATAATGAAACCTCGTATAAACATGTACAGGAAGGAGATTGACATTGCGTGGAAACATGTTCTTCCATTGTGAAGCTTAACGCTGAATCAATTACACGTATTGTAGTCACCAACAAGTTCTATTGCCCCTATCGAATGAGTGCGTAACGACACAAAGCGCTGCGTTTTATTTCATTAATGTTAATGATTTTTTAAACTACTATGATATTATTAGTAGTAATAGTCTTCGTGGGCGGGATTAATCTTTTTATAACGTTAGTTACCGTACCTGTTAAAAGATAAGGTTGCAGTGGGCATGCTGATGGGAGACAGAAGGTGTGCTGGACTGCGCTCCCTCAGTGGGCTAGACTTAGTCAGCCCTCCACTGTATGTAACACTTTCCGATTACATTTCATCATAATAGATAATTGATAAAAATGTAATAGTAGAGATATTTTTAAAAAGCTATAAATAACGTAATGGGACTAACTCGAATATATTGTACGCAATGTATTCAGATTTATTATTCGTCGAATAAAACGAACTGTTGCTTCTAAATCGCGTCGACTATCACAAAAAGCTACGTCGACATAAACATGAAAATGTTTTATTTGCGATAAAGCAAAACGAAAAACTGATAACCGAAATCTACAATAACAAGACCATGTACACGTAACTGAATATTATACAAACACATAAGTTTTCATTACCTATCGTCTGATTGCGACGTCTGTATAGGAGCAGCGGAAACAATATGATTGTTGTTTGTTTTATCAGACTTTCCTAAGCGTTCAAACCTGTCAGCCGGTACGGAGATGCTACGACTAAAATCTGGTGGAGCTACCAACCGATTAGTTTTCTTCTTTCTGTGAATATATATATGTATATAAACCATTATTTATATTTACTTACACAGTAATCGATTTATATATACTACCTACTCATTTAAAAATGGATCTTCTAGTAACTCAGCTGCGGTCGCCCTTATATCAGGATTTGGTTCAAAGCAACGTAGTATGAAACTTTTTGCTCTTTCCGTCAGTTCTGACGGAATCTCGGGATGTATTTTGTAATATCCGACCTGTTAAATAATATCACTTTTATGTAGATTTATGACCACACATTTTTTTAATATTTTCAACAAATTACCTTAAATACAGCAGCTTGGGGAGAACCCAATTCTATAAATGGTGGTTTACCAGTAGCCATTTCTACAATGGTACAACCCAGAGACCAAATGTCTGCCTGTAATTTACGTTGAACTATAATAATATCTGACTTCTACTTGAAATATAATATATCTAGCAAGTATATAGCTTACAGGAGCCCCATAACCACGTTGTCCTTTGTCGATCACTTCCGGTGCCATATACTGTAACGTCCCAGTAAATGTTTCTGTACTAGGACACAAACCAGCCAAACGTTTTGACATACCAAAGTCTGAAATTTTCACTACACCGCTGTATGTATTCACCAGAACATTGTCACCTAAAAGTGAGTTATCATAAACACCCGAAAGTCTTCAATTGTATTTCGAAATGTTGTATGGTATTTACCTTTGATATCCCGATGAACAATTTTTTGATCGTGTAGATACTTCAAGCCTTCTAAAATTTGTTTAGTATAATAAGCGATTGTAGACTCATTTTCCTTCAAGGGGCCCCATTTTGATCTCAACAAAGCTGATAAACTTCCTATGCAAATTAAAACAGTATAATTACTCTGAAAATCACTTGTGTGTAACGTTACATTTCATCTTTTTACCTCCAGGAACTTGCTCCATGAATATTTTAAAATATCCATCTTCGCTTACTGATCCAAGGTACTGAACAATATTCCTATGTCTCAGTTGACTGTGCAACTTAATTTCTTCGTGCAGAGGTTGCACATCTCCCAAGTTTCGTTCACGTATTTCTTTGACCGCAATTCTAACTTGTGTGTCCAAATCTCGCGCCGCGTAGACAACGCCATAGGTGCCTTTACCCAGTATTATTCGTTTATTTTGATCATCCAATTCATACTCAAACTAAAATTGTACGAATATTAGTAAATACAAATCGTATAAAGTCAAATATGAAGAAATAATGTCTACAAACCTTCATTCTATCGTCAGTCAGATATGCATCCAAATCTGTGACCATGCCTTCTTGATCTCTGGTCATTTCCAGAATTAAATCGTAGAACCTTTGTCTGCATTGGACAGAGGGGAAGAACATTTGGAAATCATCAGAGTTCTGATGTACATATAAAAAAAGGCAGCGTTCATCTCGTTTATACAGGCTTACACTACGTATCATGTTCGCAGTGAAGAGCCAATCGTGGACTTGTTTGCAACTGTTCTTCATATTGTCCAAGCACAAGTTCCAAAGTTGAACTGATTTCTCTTCTGCTCCGAGGTTAACGTTTACATAGCTTGGCATTAAGATCTTCGACGGTTCCAGCACTAAGAGCTGAAAACGAAAGATCGGTGACTAATTCATCTTTTTCATTGAACTAACATCTTATTAGAAAATTGATTCATTAAAGTCAAGCTAAGGACCTGCACTAAGAGCAGTTTTATATTATTCTTACTTTGACCCAAAATGTACAGAAGTAAGCTGGATTGGTAACACAATATTATAAGCCATAGTCTCCCGAATTGGAAACTGGATCCTTTGTAGAACGATTCCATTTATCAACTTACTGGAAACCGTATACTATCTCCAACTTCCGATTTCGTCGCTTCGACAAAGTAGTCCATCCAAAAACTAAATATTTGCTCCTCTGGTGATACCTCTGCTTCTTCATTCTTTTTACGAATCCTATCTATCAGCGATATGTTCCCTATTGTCGATTTCAGGTACCTGCAAATGAAGTATATTTTCGTTAATATTGCAAATTCGTTTTTATATAAACATGTGATACCTGAACGATAAACTGATACGTACCAGTTTGGCGGCTTCAATCTGAACATACACTCAGCGGCTTGAATAGCTTTCGAATAATCCTCGGCCAATACACTGATCTCAAAGAACGTAGCCACATCCCAATAGTCCTTCAAACTCGATAAGCTGCCTTTCTTGCCAATAAGATTATTCAACACCATGCCTATGTGTTGTAATTCCTCACTTTTTGAAAACTCGTTCCCAGCTATAACCAGCAACGTGGCCAGATTTATTCCAGCATATTCATTTGGTTGTACCTAGGACACAAAGTAACTTCATAATGACAAAGTAAATTACGTTATTTAACAACTTTCTGTTTTAATACGAAGAAAAGATAGTCATCGTACCTCAAAACCTTTTCTGTACCAGTGGATAGCATTTTTTAAGCTTTCTTCGTCTGTGTGTCTACTCTCTACAAATTTGTCCTTGTATATTCTTCCACATAAACATAACATATCAGGAACATGATTCTCTTTCTTTTCTAAAGCTTTCTCTATAACTTTCAACGCTCTTTCTCTATCGCCTTCTTTGTTTCGTCGATTCAACGCAAACGCGTACAGATATCGAATAGCCGGAGTATTGATATAATTTTTGTGCGTTGGTATAGTTCTCAAATCATCGACCAGTTGCACCATTGCATCATAATCCTAATGATACGGTATAATAATTAATGGTTGTCCATAATACAATCAACCCTCTTATAACACTGTCTTTCCTGACTATCGCGTTATAAAAGGGTTACGTGTATATTGTTTTTAGTAAAATACGTTCATACAATTACCTGTATCTCACGAAAAGAAATAAGAACATTTAAGACAACTTCTCCAGACAACACATTCGGGTCATCCAAGCGTTTACGCATGTTGTTTAGAGCTTTCGAAAGCTCTTCACCCGAATACGTTTCCCGTGCTTTTCGTAAGTCTGCTAGGAACTTTTCTTTCATGTGTGCTCTAAAAAAGTTCAAACAATTCAAAACATTGATTTATTATAACTGCATGTATAAAATGATAAGATAAGGAAACGGCAACAAAGATTCCAAGGTAATATATCTTCACTTCTTATCATCAAAAAAAAGAATAAGTCAAAACATACTTAGACTGTACTTCAACATCTTCAAACAACTTTTTAAGCCTCAATGTTAAGTGTTGCTTCGGATCTATAGCTTCCTCCCCAGTAATTCTGGTAGTAGCTGGATTTGTAGCTACACACGAACCACAGTCTACCACACGGTATGACACAAATGTATAGCTGCCACATGACAACTGTAAATTTAAGTACAGTATGTACATATCATTGATGCTTAAAATGCAAAAATTTTTGTCAGTAACAGTGGATATACCTTAAGCCTAATTGTTGTTTCTGTATCCATATCATTGTGTAATAATATATTTTCTTTCATGCCAAAACTTTCTCTAACACCAAGATGATAAAACAGGGCAGACTGCTGTAGCTGTATACTTAAATCCACTACGGCCACATCCGCATTATAGAATGTGTCGAGTACATTTGTCTCCCCAAAGTCCAATTTCTCAAACTAAACGAGCAATTTTTTATAGGTTTAATATTAAATGGTACAATGCGTCATAAATTGTTTTTGTTCGGGGTATTAAAATTTTAAGATATACCTGTATATGATGTATATTAGCATTAACAAGATTACATGCTTGTCTGACTTCCTCTAATGCTCTTCTCCTTTGCGCTAAGTGTTCTGGTTGTTGCAGGTCCAAAACACAAGCCACATCCATTTTGGGCCTTCCAAGGATTGCAGTGTGTGCAGAAATATCACTGTGTGTACCAACACTGTCGGTGCTAGAGATACCTTCTGTAACTGTTGGTTGCGAAGGAGCTGAAACACATTTTAACTGTAAGTTTTAAACCTTACTTTCATCTACATATAAAAAGCAACAATAATTACCAATTATATCAATTGTATCACCACAATTGGAAAGCATGTTGTCCAATTGTTCTATAGCAAATAAAACTAATATTTTAACTTGTACTTGTAGGGCTCTTGGAAGCTTCAATGGATTTGGAAGTTCCACAGTTACCTATAGAGATACATAAAGCAATAATATAAACACAATAATCACAAATGAGTCTTCAGTCTGTGATCTATAGAAATCATTACAAATTGATACGTAAGAATATAAGAGTATATAATTATAATATATTATATATTCCTACTGGCAAATAATACATCATTTTTTATAGTTAATGTATTCCAACAAGCAATGCATTATTTTAAGGAGTTTTTATAATGAAACAAAATTCTGCCTGTTTCTAATATCTATATCGCCTAATCATAGTAATCATGTTAATCATCATAAAAAATTAATTGAACATCATATTCCGGCTTCCGATATGATATTTCTAATAATAAATGCATTGTCCAATTAATCTATAATGTAGAAAAATACCTTTTGCGTTGGACATCATAGAAACGACCGTCCATTTCTTCTAGAACACAGAAATCCGGAGTCGAGGTCGTGCACAAGACAATTCGCATAAAGAATTTTCCTGTTTGTTCACAGATGGCAGATAAAGCAGTCCCGCTTCTCCGCCGGTATAAAAATAGATCCCCTCAAGATAGAACGCATTATAATAAAAATAAAATGATAATTGTGATTAATACGGACGTTGATATAAAAATGAATCACGAACGGATAATAGCTCAGAATATTTCATATCAATATAAAATCTGATTCGAATTATTCCATTAGTTCACAGAATTTTGTTTTGTTAAACTCTACTAGACAAAGATAGTAATGTCATTCATACATTATCATATTTACTCCAATAATCCGAACCTTCGATTAATCTCCACACATGATTGCAAACCGTAGCAACAGAGAGATTCATTGAAACTTATAGATTAAAGTAATCATCGTATCACTCTCTGGTAAGTAGATTAGGTAAACAATGGTCAGACTGGTTTCGACGTGGACAAAGAGCTGTTTTCAAGTAGAAAATGTAACTCGAATAAAATTAATTTATTATAATTGTTATATACTGCATAAATCATAAAAAAAGAAACTATTTACTTCACCGTTTTTGATCAAAGATATTTTATTAAAATATTAACACGAGCGCTGAAAAATTATTGTAATATGCATACTTATTATTTCAAAAACGGAAACAGATGTTGCGTGTATATTAGATATTGTATTAATGAAAACCATCGGATAATTCTTGTCATAAATGCTTTATTTTATTAATTATACATTATTTGCTATTTCAGTACATGCTCTAGTATAAGTATCCGCAGTTTAATGTGTTCTTGATACATATCCTTAAGAAATATAATAAGACCGCTTTGCAACTAGCATTAGTCGAATATATAACTATATTAAATCTTTTAAAATCATTGTTAAAAACGCTTCGATTATTAAATATTGTCAGATCGAAAAACCTGTACGTGAGATAGTACGGAGAGTAGAGTTGCTACAGCCACAAAACACTTTTGTCGATCGACTAGAGTCGACGGTTCACTCGGCTATTATAACCGTTGAGGAGTCTGCATCGACGCAGAAAAGGCGGATAATGAGTTTCTAGGTCATTCGGACTCGGATGCACTGGGTGCTACAGTACGGAGCACCGTGGAAACGTACCAATGAACTCCACAGCAGCAGGACGTCAGGAATACGAGAAGTTGTTGTAACAAGCATATATTGCCGGAAGCTACGCCTGTTAAGTTATCCTTGAATGAAATGAGACGACTCAATTGTAAATACATTGCACCATGACTGCATTATCTATGCATTTATCAAAAATCGGTTACGACTACAATACATATTTATATCAAGATCGCATCTTTCAATGATAATCTTTTATTGATAACAGATAATTCTAGTACTTACATGGTGATGTATCTGCCAATACGGTGTAACCAAAACATAGGTAAATCATTATAAAAATGTATGAAGAATGTACAGGGAAAAATCTTTTTCGATTAAATCTCAACGTTTTAGAGAATTAAATGTAAATGTTACTCGGTAACGTGTTGCACCGAATAAGATAGTAATGAGTTTCTTTTACAATAATTTTCTCAAAAAAGAAGTTTAATATTCTTGACTTTCTTTCTACAGAGAATCATCTTCTTTTCGGTTGTACCACATTTATAAATATCTATATACACGTTTCTAGTTCGTAAGCGATGAATATGAATGGCAAGGAATTGATATTAACTCTACTGATTCAACTGTCATCCGATCTGTCCGCATCACTGGACAATACTTTTTAAATAAGATAGTAAAGAAATTTGATCACACTTCAAAAATTGAGAAAGTATAATTTGAACAAATTACACTCGATACAGTTCGATATGAGACGATGAATATTCTCTAGCAAATAGAAAGCTGCCAATGCCACACGATCTAGGTGGTAGACCAACTGTTACTTAATCTGTATTCAGTAGTAGAAGCCACTCTAATCGTAAGTAGAAAGAGTCTGAAAGATGAACATGATTCGTATGTACGCGGTTTACGAATGCGTGAAGAATAGTGGGGCGCAGTGATGCGCGGAGCGGCCACTCCGCAGCGCTCCCCTTTCACTAGGAACACAGAATGAGCCAAGATGTATGCCTCGCGGCTGACAGTGAGATTACAAAGCTACTTGCACAATCGATCTCCTGACACTTTCTGTTCGCTGCGTAAAAGGTAATGTTTCTTGACCAGGAACGTAGACTGTGTAAAAAGGTCTACGTAATACTTTACGATGCAAATGGAGTTAACTTCCTACACTTTTTTCTCGCCGCATAGAAAACCGTGACCTCTGAATAGGAATACAGGAATCGTAAAAAAGTAACAATTAGCTCCTTTTCTATCCTGTCAGTCTGTTATAGGGGGTCCCCGAGAACTGGCCTGCCCCACGATCGACCAGCAAAACACGTCATTTCTCGTGACCAAGAAACACCGAGAGATTTTCTCGCTCTGTTTAGTCAACCTTCGTTACTCGCATCTTCCAAGAAACAATAGGTGCAACGAAGGCTATGTAATCCTTTGATACTCGATATAGAAACAGCCTTGTAGCATTTAACATCGAAACTGTAAATAATTGCGATAATCATAGAAAACTGATTATCATTTGATACTGGTCATTTAAGAATAAGCTATCCTCGTGTATAACACATCAGTAAATTACTACGAACTACGAACCTTTGAGCATTTATATAATGTATTAAAGAGTGTTGGATTTTTATATGAATACTGTTCTAAAAAGTATAAACAGAATACAATATATTGCATCGAAAGATTTTTCTTAATAAATATTTCAAGAAATAATAAATATCCGTATATTTTCATATTTCGAGGTTTTGCGCCTCTCCTTTCCATCCCAAATGTTTATATATTATAAATTCACAGTATTGAACCATTGATTTATAAGAAAGAACGTTTGGTAGCACTTTGTTCCTCGTTTAAGGATTTTATTGAATCCATAGTAGCATACTTATACTTCGGATTTCATTCTATTCTATATACCCCGTCTTTAGCATTTTTAACACGTTGAATGCCGCACGATTTCATAGAGCAGAATACACGAAACGGAAGAAATATAATATTAAATCATTTGATTGAATTACATTATTATTACTGCATGTTCATCTAGCTGAATGTCACTGCATTAGGTAACATCATTTATAATATAGTAATGTTTTCAAATAATCGTCGTTTCATTAAATGGATTATAGTAATTCGGTTTGGTTGGAGGTTACCGGAGACCCCCATGGCATTCAACGTATTAAAAGTTATATTTAACTGATAAAAGCAGAGAAAATACGGTTCATGTTTCCTCAATGACCGACTGAGCAATGTACGGAATGACGTGAAAGGGAAGGTGGAAAGTCGACATCTTGATCCCAGATGTTGCCCTGGTCTCCGGAGAGCCTCGCGGTGTAGAAATTGCTCGAGGAATGCGTGTAATGCGTGTACGTACACGTCACGCCCACTCATCATGGCGATCACGTACGTAGCTCGTCATCGTGTAGGTACTTAATTGAAGGTCTGTTCTATAGTTTCCAGTTGCAAGGTTAATGAGTTGTCCGTGGTGGTCCAATCATTAATGAATTTTACCTCGATTATGCCGATTTTTGCGAAGCTTGTGTCGCGTCTTTCTTTCATTGCCTCGAAATCATATGCGCGTCCTTGTCAAATACCTCCTTGTCTGTCATGCTTCGCGCGTAGGTACCAGGGGCTGATGAGATGCTTTTTCAAAGTAGGTGGTACCAGGATTTCTCGTTCTGTCCTTGTCGCGCAGTACCTCTGACCTTGCATTAATTATTGCAAGATAGGGGAAACGCTCAATTTTTCTAGAAATCATCATGGTTTAACACGTTAACACGTTGAATGCCATGGAGGTCACCACCGATCAAATCGAATTATTATAATTCAGTTAATTAAACGATCATTATTTGCGAATATTTTTATATTACAAATAATGCTATCAAATGTGGCGACATTCGACAAGGTAAACGTGCAAAGATAAGAAAACGATGCGATGAAATAATTTGATGTTACATTGTTTTCATTTTGTGCATTTTTCTACGTGAAATCGTGCGGTATTAACGTATTAACGTATCAATTACCGATGACTGACATTGTAACGCCAAATAGTGAATAATTGTTGCTACTTTTCTTTGCTAAACAGGATAAGCAATTGTTTTTAATGCCAAAAAGGATATTACAAAATAATAGTATATATTAGTTTAAGATATAAATAAATTTCTTTTAAGTTAGCCTTAATCTTAAGAAAGAAAACATTGATTATCCGTCGTGGGAAATTTTTTTTTTTATTTCAATACAGTATATGAGCTTTCTATTACAATAAATAATTCTTACCGTTCCGTGCGTACCATATAATGCATATAAGGGCAAGAACTATCTGTTTCCGAAAATCTATACTTTTGATTGATAGTGACATTCGTGGCAAAACTCTCAAACTGCTAGACAAATGTTATCAATGTAGGAGTTCATGTGGATTGTCCGTGGTGTCATCCATGGTAAAACGCTCAAACTGGTAGACAGCTAAGTTTGCGCATTTCACAGGAAATGGAGTTACATGGAGTGACATGAAAATGGTAACAGGTAGTAACATCCCTGGGAACGCGTGACAAAATTTTTAAATTGCATATTATGTCTATCCTATATCTCGCCTGTGTTCTCGGACATCACTTTGATTAGAGGTAGTGGAGGAACGCTGTTTTTGAATTATTAGCGTGAGAGAAGTACTACTGGAACGTCTAAATTGTTAGCTTTATACTTATAATTACATCATGTAATGAACGAATAATATCTTAAATTCGCATCTATTATCTCGGTATCACTTTTAATTTATAAAATATTACTTACATAATCATTTTATTAAGATAGGTATAGACCGTACATTCAATCTATTTTGCTATCTACTATTCTGAAATACCGACACCATCAAAATTGTCCCAATATACTAGCGAACTCTATAGTTAAAATTCTAAATGAAGAAAAAACTTAACACTGCATTACCGACAAGTAAATGTTAACTATCGGACATAACGTACCATACAAATGCTTTGTACTGTTGCTCACAGTGACGTTGGATATTTACATGTGAAACGTACCTACATATGTGTACAGGTAATGATTTCGTAGTACGCATCGTTCGGTCTCGCGTCATTATTTTTTAGAAGAATGGAGGGTGAAGTGAAGATTATCGTAAAATGGAGTGGAAAAGAATACGAGCTTCCGAACATACAGCACGATGATACTGTTCTTTCTTTGAAGGAACGTATACACAAAGAAACGGGTGTTCTCCCGGAACGTCAAAAGTTGTTGAACCTGAAATTCAAAGGTTATGTTTTGAACTGTCTTTATGTTTATTCCCAACGTTATATTTTTCTAGAGTAACAATAACGCACTAATTTTTCTATTGATTTATATAATAATTTCTTTAAATTATTTTTCTTGCCATTTCTTAAGTGCTGTCCTTAATGATTCAAAATTTCCACTAAAAAAGTTTGTAATTAATGAAAAATTTGTTCAAGTATCTATAGAATCTTTACTTTCACTAGGCAAAGCAGCTCAGGATGAAGATATCATAGGAAAATTGAGCCTGAGGCCTGGTTTTAAGCTTATGTTAATGGGATCCAGAGAAGAGGATATTGCGGAAGTAAGCCATGCTCCAAAAGACATGCCTGATGTAATTAATGATTTGGATATAGAGGAGGAAGAAGTGGAAATTGAAAATGCAGAAATCTATCTCTCTAAAATTCAAAAGAGAATTGACCATTATGCTATCACAGAATTAAATCCACTTAGAGAAGGAAAAAAGCTTCTAGTACTGGATATAGATTATACACTTTTTGACCACAGGTCAACTGCAGAAAGTGGAGTGGAATTGATGCGACCTTATCTTCATGAATTTTTAATGGAAGCTTACATAGATTATGATATAGTAATTTGGTCAGCAACTAGTATGAGATGGATCAATGAGAAAATGAAGTTGCTTGGAGTCTCGAATCATCCCCAATACAAAATAGCATTTCATCTTGATTCTCTAGCTATGATTTCTGTTCACATACCAAAGTATGGTTTAGTTGGAGTAAAGCCTCTTGGTATTATCTGGGGAAAGTATAAACAGTTATCTGCAAAAAATACTATAATGTTTGATGACATCAGGAGGAATTTTTTTATGAACCCACAATCGGGTTTGAGAATAAAACCTTTTAGGCATGCACATCTTACCAGGAGTAAAGATTTAGAGCTATTGAAGTTATCAAAATATTTAAAATTAATAGCTAAACTTGATGACTTTCAAACTCTTAATCACAGAAAATGGGAAGAATATACAGCTAAGAAAGCTAAAAAGGAAAGAAGAAATGAAACTAACAATGAGTAAAATTATGGAACATGTTGAATACTTGTTAAATTTTATGAATCTTCCCATTATTTAGAAAATATTTAGAATCCATCATTAACTGTCATGAGGATAACAAGAAAAAAGAAAGAAGAATAAATTCTGTATAAAGAGCATATACAAAGATAAAAAATACGCAAAATACTTATAAACATAAAAATCTTAAGTATTCTTCCATGAATGATCGTGTAATGATGTACAACAATTTTAATTAATCGTTATTTACAGCGCTTCAAGTTTTCATGCTACACTGCGTAAATTCGCATATTTTCACACGCTTCTATGTATTTATAATGTACTTATGAGTTACATGAAATATGTACAAAATGTGTAATCAAAAATTATCTAAATAAAACCTGTACACTATAAAAACAATTTATTTTTCTTTAAAATTATTGATGTTTTTTTGATCTTAATATAATATCATAGTTGCGAAATAGGTCACGTTCGAACAATGATAAATTTTGTTTTTGTTAAACTGTAAAAAAATTTGCGAAATTTGTACATTCTTATCAAGTTTATCAAATTAATCGCTGGATTTGCATATCATTTTTGTCGCCATCTACTTTCTTTTTCAGTCTGCATAATCAGCGAAACAGGTTTATTGTATAGTCGCATGTATCTATAAGCAAGATGGCGAAGTGTTCGTCGTAGGCGGACTGTCGTTAGAAGAGGTGTCATTACACATGTAGCCTGAGAATCATCATTCTGTGAATAAATTAGAAGAATGGAACTATTTCGTACTGACACGCATTTTATTTTTGTGAAAGAGAGATATAGCTTGTGGTGTGATAAATTTACGGGCGAATTCTCTGCGAAATCGGGTGGGTATACACCTTTGATAGAAATACGTATATTCTCGCACGTCAAGCAGAACACACGTTGTAATTCCTATTTTGTATTTTTTACACGTAATCAGAATAATTTTCTGCGAGATATAATTGAAATAAATTTGCATTAATTATTTCTGTAAATTAAGGAATGTGGCATCACTTGACACAATACAAATTTTTATTTTACATTAAAACATGATTAAATTACTGCTACTCAAGTAATACTTATAAATTCATTAAATGGTAACTTGCGTGTTCCTCTGAAATAGCTATAGTTTATGAATTATATAAATGTATAAGAGATATATTACATTTAATGTAGTTATGGGTAATATTTATGGTTTCAGATTAACAATATTGTTAGTTGTTATTGATTATAAATTATTCTGCAGATTGGGAATGGGCCTCCCCAAAGGATTTAGAATGTCTTGGGATATTTTATGGAATAGTTGGAAAAATAGAACAGCCATCTGTATTAGAGCCTCGTTTGATGTTAATCAAAGAAATTTCATCAGCTGGGGAATTATACGGAGGTCATGTTATATATAAGATAAAATCTATTGCATTTTTGCATATTGGCACGGAAAATAGTGATATTGGACTTTTGCCATGCAAGAAGCATCAAAATTTGCCAAAGAAAAAAAGTCAAAGTAGTTTATTTGATGTGCCACAGAAAGCTGCTCTTGCCAAGACATGGGGAACCATTAAAAGTGCGACTAATACTATAAAAACTACTACACAACAAGCCGCAGCACTTGCAACATCTCAGGTATCTCTTAAATTCAAGTATTAAATGATATGAGTTAATAGAATATGAAAATAATGGAAGATTACTTTCCTAGGTAAAATCCACAGTATCCAAACGAAGTATTGTTAAAGATAAAGAAAAATTTGAGAAAAGGATTCTCGAGGAATTGAACAAAATTTTTACGGAAACTGATTCCTTCTATTATTGTCAAACGGGTGATATTACTAACAGTCTGCAAAGGCTTTGCAATTCAGAGTCAAAGCAAAATCAAGAAATAAATAAACCACTTTGGCAAAGAGTAGATGACAGGTTTTTTTGGAATAAGCATATGCTGCAGGATATAATCAATCTAAAAGTTAGAATCTTTATAAATTTAACCCATTTTTTCAATAGGAATCATATTTTTATGAAATATTTTACTTTTCTAGACAGATAAAGCAAATTGTTGGATATTACCTGTTATTCAAGGATATGTACAGATAGAGAGGTGTAATGTAGAAGTAGGTTTCGATGGTCAATCACAACACGAAACGTTTAATTTGGCTGTTATATCAAGGAGAAGTAGATTTCGTGCAGGAACAAGGTAAATATCTTCCACCTTCATGGTTATTTCATTAATAATTTCATATGTAAGAATATTTTTTCTGTGATCACAAAGATATAAGCGACGTGGTGTTGATGATGAAGGAAAATGTGCAAATTATGTGGAAACAGAGCAATTAGTGTGGTATCATGACCATCAAATGTCTTTTGTACAAGTGCGAGGTAGTGTACCTGTATACTGGTCTCAACCTGGATATAAATACAAGCCCCCACCACATATTGACAAGGGTAATTAATTGGGATAATCATTATAGGTAAATGAATTAAAGTAATCAACACTTATAATATTTTAGGTGAAGCAGAAACACAAGTTGCATTTGAGAAACATTTTACAGAAGAACTTGAATTGTATGGTCCAATTTGTATTGTCAATCTTGTAGAGCAAACTGGGAAAGAGAAAATCATTTGGGAAGCTTATAGTAACCATGTAATAAATTATAATCAACAAGATATAACATACACGTCGTTTGATTTTCATGAATACTGGTAAGTGTTTGCAATGTTTTCAGCTCAACGTATTTTGAATTGTGGCTAAATATACTTTTGTACCTAACACAGTAGAGGAATGCATTTTGAAAATGTGTCTATTTTGATCAATGCATTGGCTACGGTACTGACAGACATGGGATACTGTTGGCGTGATAAGCAAGGCACAATTTGCATGCAGAAGGGAGTGTTTCGGGTGAATTGCATAGATTGTCTAGATCGAACAAATGTGGTGCAAACTGCTCTGGGTAAAGCTGTAATGGAAATGCAGTTTTCTAAACTAGGATTAATACCTCCAGATGGTATGCTACCAACAAATATTAAGCAGACATTTCAGTTGCTTTGGGCCAATAACGGCGATATTATTAGTAAACAATATGCTGGAACAAATGCTTTGAAGGTTTGTACTGTAGTAGTTCTTTCTTTTATTGGCTTTTCGTCGATTGTTTGTAAACAAAGCTGTTCCAGACACCCAGACCTTTATGATATATAGTTTCTAATTGATTATAGGGAGATTATACAAGAACAGGGGAAAGAAAATTTACTGGTTTAATGAAAGATGGCATGAATTCTGCAAACAGGTACAATTGGACAGCCATTATGATTCATGCCCCGCATTGCATTAGACTGTCATTCTCATTCATACATCCTACACCACACATCACCATATGGTTAAAAAAAATCCTTTTAACTACTGTAATCTTTTCAATACAAATAAATTATTACAAGCTGTTTACATCATCAATAACGTTAACACACGATCATCACTTATATATTGATTTCTTTATACATGCATAGAACCTTGACACTATCCTTTCATTTTCCCATAGATATTTTCAACAACACTTTATGGATGAAATGCGTCAAGCGGCGATAGATACCTTGCTAGGGAATCCCATCAACGTTAACGAACTGAATCTCGATTGGTCGCACTATTTAGACATCTTTGATAATTGCTGCAATGAGCTAATTCCCGTGAAACTGACAAGCGTAGAGCTTCATCTTGCTACTTACCCTGACTTTATTTATGCCAGTGCTATCTATCATTTAGTAAGGTTCGTTCTAGGCTTTGTGTACAAAGTTTTCAAATTGAAGAACGTGTAAACTATATTAATTTAAATTACTAGTCTGTTATTGGATAATAAATACAATGATAATATAAATTTTAAGTATTGACTTTTGTGATGCACGATAAAGCTTCTATTGCATGTCAACTGCTTGACTTTTAAATTTGATTTCAATCCTGGAAAATACACCCTTATCTTTATGAAACAACCTCTTAGTACTTACCTTATGATACTATTAATACAAACATTTTGAAGGAATATGTTTTTTTCAGATATTATTTAAACCGCTTCAAGGATGTCTATAGACAAGCTACCATTGATATGATGTTAGGAAATTCAGTGAGCGAAGAAGTATTTCAAGAACGAACAGATGAAGAAGATAATGCTGCAACTGCAATTCATGTGAAACTGTTGATAGAGGATTGCAAGAAACTACTGATACCTGATCCAGAAGTTATTTTAGGCAGCTGGGGTCTTATCGATGCGGACCCAGTGTACGTTATATATTTACAATTCGGATAAATTTTTGGGATTATAGTGAGTTCTTTATCATAATTTTTTCCTTCAACAGAACTGGAGACCCAACGGAAACGGAAATGGATACTATTCTTATACTAACACGAGACTGTTATTACGTAGCTGATTACGATGATCAGATTGACAAAGTTACAAACTACCAAAGAGTTCCACTGGAAGATATTATTCTGATCGAATGTGGACAGTCTGAGAGTTTACTTTCCCTGTTTAAAAATAAGCATTTTTACTGCATTAGAATAAATTACAAAGTGGCCAACGAATCTGGCTATTTTCACATGTTTCGCAGTACAAATTTACAGTTTTTTAATAACATGGCTGTTATAAAAACCGAAGAAGAAAGCTCAGGTAAAAGACATAATTAAATTTTATTTATTATTGAACTGTTAGGTGAATGATACATTAATTTGTATATTGTAGAATCTTTAAGGGCAATCTGTGAAACTTTCACTGTAGCAATGGAAATGGCAGGATTACTAAACACCCCGATAACGATAGACGTAACATTAGATAGACGAAAGAGTAAGTTAGTTAACGTTAAAGGATCTACAGGTCTTCTAGATATTTCATCGCTCCCCGAGTTGACTAGAAATGTCTCAGAAACACAGTTACTAGCTCTAAAAAGTGCAGGTATATATATTTCTGTAACTTAGTAATCTATTTGTATTTATATGAATTGTACATTACAAAATTTTTTACCGTTTTCAGGAACAAAAGCTTTAAACAACATGTCAGAGCAATTCAGCAAATTAAACAAACTCAGTCATAGCTTTAGCACTAGAAAACCGATCGACATAGCAAGAAGTATAGGCAAGAAATCTGAACCATCCCCAAAACCCACTTTTACAGTAGGTAGTAGAGATATATCTGGCAAAGTACAAGGGAAACACGACAGCAGCAGTGGTAGCAGTAGCGACGATGAAAATATAGAAATACCATCTGGTCCTTTAGAAAAACCAGAAAACTTCAGTCATGATAAAAATTTAATGGAAGCTTATACACCATCCATTGGTATTATAATGGGCGTAAAAAATGCAGACGTGGTGGAACCCGATGAAAACAATGAAAATCACAATTTGATAACACGACCTAATAATCTACATGATCAAAAATTAAGTGCAGAGAACCTGTTAGCTCCAGAGGCTACATCCGGGACAAGTACTTTGAGCGCTTCTCCACAGAAGACACCAGAAATAACAATCCAGAATGTAACAGAGAATTTGACTGAAGATAAGGAGAGAATGGTCCCACCTTCAACATTAAATCTTACAAAAAATATTAGTCATTCATCGGAAGAAGTTGACAGTAGATTAATGCTTAACAACACGAATGCGAACAATTTACAAACAGAGAATAGATTACAGGATAAAAAAAGGTCAACGTCAGAACAAGATTTAACTTTGAATATCACATCTTCTCAAAGCGAGTCTGCTTTAAAATCTATAAAAACCAATATTACTAACGTCACCAGCCCAGTAGCATCCACGGCCAAAGATATTCTGTCACCTTTCTCGAAATTTGCTAAAGGGGTTCAAACATTAGGAGCAAACTTAGATCCTAGAAAGTTGAAAGCAGGACAAGGAGGATTACTAAGAAATCTATCAGACCATCATGTAGAACAGCGTCAAAAATTGGAAGACAGGTGGGGTTCTTGTCAATCTAAACTCATTGCTTTGTAAATTTTTTGAAAATCTAGTATTCAAAATTTGAATGTCTAGCGATGTAATTACAATTTAGGGATACGCGATAGTAGATGATTACACAGAAATTGCGTAATAGGCGTGGAAACAATTCAGCATTGGAATTGATAAATGTATTTCTCTTTGCCATTGGTACTTACTAGAAATAGTATCATAAGAAAACTGCATCAAATTTAAATTACCATGCACATCTTTAACTTTTCTGATTATTTTGGATTACTGCCATCTTGCTAAGGAATTCTCGCGAAAAGAATGGCTACTAGTAAAACATTTCCTATACCTTATCGTATTTATTACCTTCTACAAAGTACAATGTGGTCAATATTTAATCAACAGCGAATCTCTTGATGTGTCTACTTACAAATTTTCTAGTATTCTACACTGGTAAGGGCAATTAAACTTTCGTTTTTAGATCGAATGACTATTTGCAAAATGCTTTTTCGCATATTTATACAAAATTTTCACCTGAATAGCGTTTGTAACAATTTGAACAAATTCTGATGTTTGCTATATTTGGATGTTAAAAAGTTGAATTGTAAATTTAACAAAATGGTATGCTTACAAAATGAAATTTAATTCCAGCGTTCTTTGACGCTCAAATCTTTGCTGCATAATTAAATTTTCCTAGTATGCCAAATTTCATTTATTTATTATACAAGATTTACCTTCACTTTTTTAGTAAGTTTACTGACTGGGATATACATGTGACATTTACGAACTTAACAGTATTTATAGATTGAAAATTTATTTTTGCAGCAAAATGGGCAAAGAAGCTTTGTAGTCAATTATGTAAATACAAAGAGTTATTTAAGTATAGTTTAGTGAATAACGTTAATATTGCTAATTAAACGAAAGTATAGTCGCAAGATGTGCAAAATAAATACCCTTTTTAGAAGTCTGTATAATGTGCAAACTAGTATTGGTAATTATGCTGAAATAAATTGGAGTATGAGAGGTAGTATTTAAGAGTGAAGCAGTAGTAATGAAATTTTTAGAAGTATTACTTGATTATAAAGACAGAACAAGTTTTCAATTTATTTTGAACATACAAAGGAAAGCTTTTTTTTAACCAAAAACTTCCAATTGCATTATATGCAGATAGTTCCAAGTATCAGTGATATAATTACAACATTTATAGACTTGCATAACTATAGTATTACGTATATTATTATTATACTCAATTAATTGTAGCGAAAATTTACATATACGATGTATTAAATACACGTTGTTATTTAATATTCTGTTTAGAACAATGTACACAAAATAACATAAGTTTTGAATTTAGATGGCTGACTCTTGTATGTAAATAATTTAATTTATTCATAATATGCTGTAAACGTTTCATAGTTGCACTAACATGTGGTAGAAGTGTCACGAATAAGAATTTTTCTAGTGAATGTTTTTTTTCAACTGCAAATGATAGTCTGTGATATAATCTAGCAGAATGTACACAGCCTAAAAGAAATGAGCAAATAAAAAGGTGTGTCGATTCTATAGGTCATTTAGGAATGCTTTATAAATGAGAACACGTAAAGCAGGACAATTTTTAAATGATTGCTATGTTTAGCTGAATTTATTACCCATATTTTATGATCAATCATTCATTCCGTGTACATCAGCTTATTTCTAACATATTCCTAACTATTCGCGAAATACTTATTTATTGATACAGTATTATAAATCATTGAAGAGAACCAAAACTATATATTTTTTTGTTCCTTTTTTCATATTGAGGCAATGTATGGTCCAATTAAATGTTTTGAGCGTTCAAAACGTTGTAACGTATAATATTATGTGTATTTTTACAATAGGACAATTACAAACAATCCTGATAAACAACGCACGAAA